AGATATTTATTCCTCTAAGTATTATGGCATTATACTGTTCTATGCATTTTTAGGATGTCAAATAGCAATAATAACACAATCTTATTGTTTCTCAAGAAGTCTGCCTTTTACGAAAATTTAAAATTCTAATTTAAAATTCTAAAATAATTCAACCTATATGTTATATAATTTGGTCAGACTGTGTTGCAACATATGCAGATCTATTTACCACATTCTTTATCAACTGTTACTTTCCTCAATCCTGTCCAGCTGCAGATCCTCAAGATCTTTTGCCTATAGGCTCAGTTCCCTCCAGTGCCTGGACCAACCTAAATCAGATTAAGAATACATTTCAGTGCTATATGCACCAGTACAGGTTTTGCTTCTAGAAGCCTGTGTCCTTTCCCTGTAATGTTCACTGCATGTTCTCTTTTCTAATGGGTTGCTGCTCAGATTTCTTGATTAAAACATCTATAGTTCTGCTATAAATCTCAGCCCATTGGAACAGTGTTTGACCACTCTGCCCAGCTATTTCTAACCCTTACCGTGAATTCTCATTCCTACTATTCTCAGTTGCTGTCTGGGCCTTAATGCAAATCATACCACTTTTTTCGACTCCTGGTACTAATATTTGACCATAAAGTTCTGCACTGTAGAAAAAATGAATTGTATAAACCTAATCCATCTTATATAGGTTTATAAGTTTATATAATGTTTCTAGTCTTATTCATTGGCCAAAGTGGAGAAACATATGCCCAAAGCATAGGTAACTAAACAGACATATCAAATAATTTTACCAAGTGACAGTAAAATATGCAAGTCCTAACATGGGTCAGAGACACAAACTTTTCAGAAGCATAATGGACAAATAGAAATACACACTTGGGATTGAAACTAAGGAAAAAGTGTAAAATATCCCATTTATTAGAAGAGTATTTCTTTTTATTTTTTGCCTTCATTTGGACTTGATTTGGTCATTTTAGAATCTTTAAAATCAATGAATGATTTCTGTAATTACATTTGGGTCTAATTTGTATTAACGTATGTTAATTATGGGACTAATGCCATGCTTGAATGTAAACCAAGAACTTTATGTCTGCAGGTGGCAATTTAATCTTGCTTTTGAGGAATTTGTAATATGAAATCACCATTTAGCCTTGTAATAGTCTTTCTTAAGGTCCAGCATTTTCCATTAAGTTTGGGATTAAGAAGGAAAGAAGATGCATGAATATGTTTTAGTCACAGAAATAAACAATGCAATTAATCTATTTTAATATGCAGAATGGATCCTCTAGTAACGAAGCAATCTAAAAAATACAAATTTGAGTATTTACCCAATTTGTTTTTATTCCCTTGCATAAAGTACTATAAGAGTTCAAGAATGGGCCATGGTCATTTGAGTGGAATTTGAAAACTGCTCTAATTGTTAGAGGATTTGGGGAAGAATTCCTAATTCATAATATGTAAATGTTTCCTTCGTCTCTGATACCATGCTATAAACAAAGAGTGCTTCTTTATTAGATGCTAATGCAAATGCCAATGCTATTCAAACTTACTTTGGTTGACTTGAATAACTATCTGACTTATTTTGTGTGTGTGTGTTTCCTTTAGATAAGAAATGTTGAAACCAATCAATGTTTAGACAACATGGGCCGCAAAGAAAATGAAAAAGTGGGTATATTCAACTGCCATGGTATGGGAGGAAATCAGGTAAACTCTCCCTTTTTGATATCAGTTGCCCGTTTTGGAAGAAAGTTATTGTTGCTAAAGCTATCATTGTAGATCATGGCTCACATGCTAATAACAATAAACTTTTTGTTTAGTAAATAAATGAGCATTCAAATCAAAGACTGATTCGGCTATTTTATTGTCCAAAGTATCTTAAGAGTGTACTGCAAAATTAAATAAAAAGGACAATGCTTTCAATGAGCCTACAGTTAATGAGACTATCCAAATATTTTAGACCCATCTCATTTTATCATGCATGTGCAAATGAGAACTACATTTTATTCTATTAACTGCATATATAAAACAATTTCTCAATAACTGTAATCTTTTCTCAGTGGTGATTATTCTACATTTCTTATGCATTTTTATGTATATAATGATTTTTAGGAGTTTTTGAAGTTTAATAAAATTTTTAAGTGCATGGGTCAATGTTGATGGCTGATTAAAAGTCTAGGACAAGTTTTTTTGTGTGTGACAGTCTAGTTAATTATCAGAGACTTATCAGAGCATAGTAGAGATTCTTGTACTCTCCTTAAACATTGCAAATTGGCTCTGCAAGGTAGGCCACATAGAGGATGGCTGGCTGTGAGTCTTCAGACTAGAGCAACCTTGCTGTCATGGCCACTTTGAGAGGTAGAATTTGGAGTTCCTGGGACCCGTACCAACAAAGCAGAGTTTGAGATAGCTGATCCTCTGTAGACAAGTTGTCTGTAGAAGCCGAGGGGAACCACAGAAGTGAGTTCCTTATCTAGTGGTAGAACTGCTGAGTTAGAATGAACTGAGGTTAAAAAAGTTATTCTTTTCAGTATGACATTATGTTATATTTGCGATGCAGCTGAATGTGTCAAGATTACATGTAGAAATACATGTTAATTCTGATACTGCAAAACAAGAAACAAATGAGCTCTGTTGAGTTTTGGCACCATTCTTCAGACAAGTCCTGTGTTATTCAATGGAGAACATTAAAAAGAAGTTTCTCCCTTAACATAAAATAAAAATGTTTAATTATTAAAATCCTAATTAGTATCCCAAAGTGTCAATTTAAGCAAAAAATATTTAAAACCAAATTTCTAAATTACAATGTAGAAAAATGACCTTATGGGAAAAAAATAATAGAAACAGCACAGGAAGAATAATGACAAAACATTCACAAATAGCCCAGCTTATTGTTATATTGATTCAAAACAAATGTGAGAGGCCTCTACTGCCAAAAAGCAATGGAGTCCGGATAAATTCAGCTAGAAATGGCAAAAAGCTTAATGAT